CTTCCATCCCCTCCCTCAATGCCTTCCATCCCCTCCCTCATTATCTTCCATCCCTCCCTCAATGCCTTCCATCCCCTCCCTCATTATCTTCCATCCCCTTCCTCAATGCCTTCCATCCCCTCCCTCATTATCTTCCATCCCCTCCCTCATTATCTTCCATCTTCCCCCTTCCTCAATTATCTTCCATCCCCTCCCTCATTATCTTCCATCCCTTCCCTCATTATCTTCCATCCCCTCCCTCAATGTCTTCCATCCCCTCCCTCATTATCTTCCCTCCCCTCCCTCAATATCTTCCATCCCCTCCCTCATTATCTTCCATCCCCTCCCTCATTATCTTCCATCCCCTCCCTCATTATCTTCCATCCCCTCCCTCAATTTCTTCCATCCCTCCCTCATTATCTTCCATCCCCTCCCTCAATATCTTCCATCCCCTCCCTCATTATCTTCCATCCCCTCCCTCAATATCTTCCATCCCCTCCCTCATTATCTTCCATCCCCTCCCTCATTATCTTCCATCCCCTCCCTCATTATCTTCCATCCCCTCCCTCATTATCTTCCATCCCCTCCCTCATTATCTTCCATCCCCTCCCTCATTATCTTCCATCCCCTCCCTCATTATCTTCCATCCCCTCCCTCATTATCTTCCATCCCCCCTTCCATCCCCTCCCTCATTATCTTCCATCCCCTCCCTCATTATCTTCCATCCCCTCCCTCAATGCGTTCCTCATAACATGAGAACAGCAGGTGATGGAGGAAGGAGCTACTAACGGGGTCGAGGGAGCTACAGTACTATAACGGGGTCGAGGCCTGGCTACCCAGACATCTGTCAGCGCCTGCTCGCAGATGCCAGCTGTGCATAATTCATAAATAAAACTATATTTGTTTAATTAACAAATAGGAAACTATAAAACATGTTATTGATTAATAATGTATAGTTATATACGAAAATTAACATATTTTGGCATAAATATTTTACAACTAAGATTACAAAATTTAATACAGTATGGGGTGAGAGGTTTGGCACCATTGCCTTGGTCAGCAATTCTGCCCTCTGCCTTCCTTATCACCACCCCTCTCGCTCCCTCACTACCACCACCAATACTCTCCCTACCTCCCTCAACACCACCCCTCTCCCTGCCTCCCTCAACACCACTCCTCTCCCTGCCTCCCTCAACACCACCCCTCTCCCTGCCTCCCTCAACACCACCCCTCTCCCCTGCCTCCCTCAACAGCACCCCTCTCCCTGCCTCCCTCAACACCACCCCTCTCCCTGCCCCCCTCAACACCACCCTTCTCCCTGCCTCCCTCAACACAACCCCTCTCCCTGCCTCCCTCAACACCACCCCTCTCCCTGCCTCCCTCAACACCACCCCTCTCCCTGCCTCCTTCAACACCACTCCTCTCCCTGCCTCCCTCAACACCACTCCTCTCCCTGCCTCCCTCAACACCACCCCTCTCCCTGCCTCCCTCAACACCACCCCTCTCCCTGCCTCCCTCAACACCACCCCCCTCTCCCTGCCTCCCTCAACACCACCCCTCTCCCTCCCTCCCTCACTACCACCACCAATACTCTCCCTGCCTCCCTCAACACCACCCCTCTCCCTGCCTCCCTCAAAACCACCCCTCTCCCTGCCTCCCTCAACACCACCCCCTCTGCCTGCCTCCCTCAACACCACCCCTCTCCCTCCCTCCCTCACTACCACCACCAATACTCTCCCTACCACCCTCACCACCACCCCCAACACTCTCCCTGCCTCTCCCCCTCAATGCCTCCCTCCATCAATCACTGCCTCCCATCCCTCCCTCAAGGCCTTGGAGGTCGGTGGCCTGTTGCCACATGAGGGGCCGCCGATGCCAAAACAAACTCAATACCGACCTTCGGTAATATCGACCGCCAGACTGGTATATGAGGGTCCAGATACCGATCTCCCAAACCGGTCGTTATTACCGGCAGATCGGTATAAAAGAGGCCGTTAAATTGAGTGGATACCGTACAGCCACTAGTACGTGTAGCGTTTCGGGCAGGTCCCTGGAATACGATCCCCCGCCGCGAAGAATCGTTTTTTCATCCAAGTACACATTTTACTGTTGCGTTAAACAGAGACTACAGTTAAGGATTTGCGCCCAGTAAATCCTCCCCGGCCAGGATACGAACCCATGACATAGCGCTCGCGGAACGCCAGGCGAATGTCTTACCACTACACCACGGAGACTTTTAGAAGTTGAAAGAATACAATGTTGGAGAAGTGAGGGAGGGCTGGCTGGGTGTGGCAGCTCTCACTCGCGGTGTTCTGAATGTGTTGATGGTGAATGTATATAGTGTGTGACAGTGTATAGTCTGTAAATAGATTGTATATATACACAAATTAGCATGATACATAGTAAATATGTGCTGCATATGTGTACACAAGTTTCATGCACGTAACACAGTGTCTACGGACAGTACGGATGTTGTACTGCGATATTATAGTGTACGTGTTCATTATGCATTGGATTGGCACATAAAAACAATGAAAATGTATTTGGAAAGGTGCGCAAAAAATGAACGAAAATATATTTGCGGCAACTCGCGCGCCCCGCCGCCCCCGAGAGCTTATGGCACGGGCGCACGGGGAATGATGACGTCACGCCCCAACTTCTGGACCACATAGCAGCCAAAGTAAGTACAATTTCGACTTTTTTTTTTTACATACCCATACTGAGGGAAGGGTTTTTGACACTTTAAAAAGAAAAAAGAATTTTTTCCAGAGAATTTATTTCCTGCGCACTGCGGGGGTGTCACATTTGGAGGCAACGCAGTTAAGGGGTTAATATTCATAACTAGCTCTCCACAGCAATAAGAAAACATATTAATTCTTGCAACACCTCCAACACTACCTTCCTTCATTAGGCTTAAGCGAGTCACATACACACTCAACAGTTCTCCCTTCCTTCTTGCCAACTCACTCTCTCCTTCCCTCCCTTCCTTCCTGCCAAATCACTCCCTCCTTCCCTCCCTTCCTTCCTGCCAACTCACTCCCTCCTTCCCTCCCTTTCTTCCTGCCAAATCACTCCTTCCTTCCCTCCCTTCCTTCCTGCCAACTCACTCCCTCCTTCCCTCCCTTCGTGCCAACTCACTCCCTCCTTCCCACCCTTCCTTCCTGCCAACTCACTCCCTCCTTCCCTCCCTTCCTTCGTGCCAACTCACTCCCTCCTTCCCTCCCTTTCTTCCTGCCAACTCACTCCCTCCTTCCCTCCCTTCCTTCCTGCCAACTCACTCCCTCCTTCCCTCCCTTCCTTCCTGCCAACTCACTCCCTCCTTCCCTCCCTCTCTTCCTGCCAACTCACTCCCTCTTTCCCTCCCTTCCTTCCTGCCAACTCACTCCCTCCTCCCCTCCCTCTCTTCCTGCTAACTCACTCCCTCTTTCCCTCCCTTCCTTCCTGCCATCTCACTCCCCCCTTTCCTTCCCTTCCTGCCAACTCACTCCCTCTTTCCTTTCCTCCCCAACTCACTTCCTACTTCCCTCTCCCCCTTCCTGCCAACTCACTCCCTCTTTCCTTCCCTCCCCGACTCACTCCCTCCTTCCCTTCCTCCCTTCTTGATCGTTATCCCCCAGGTGGTACCTCCCAATGCTCCCCTCCCTCCCAACACCACCCACCCACACCACCCCCTCCTACACCATGCACCGCAGCCACAACCTTACGGGATTAATACGGTACGGCCCGCAGCCTGGCTTTCATATCCGGACAATTCACTGCTTGTCTGGCTGACTGTCCAGATAGTGCAACATTGGCAGTAAGTTAACTGACCCAGATTTTTTATCCAGTCAAACACCTGATTTTCCGGCTCCTATGGACATTTTGGCCGGATATTGAGATAACTTTATCCGGTCACGATTTTGGCCATATATGGGCGTTTTCCGGATATTCGAATTCCGGATAATCACGTGTCTACAGTATTTCTTATGGGAAAATTTGTTTCGTGTTGGAAATTTTTGACTTCGAACCGTTTCTGAGAATCAATTAAATTGGAAAACCAAGGTATCACTGTATAAGAAAATTCACTTTCACAAACAGAGTGATAGACGGTTGGAACAAGTTAGGTGAGAAGGTGGTCGAGACCAAAACCATCAGTAATTTCAAAGCGTTATATGACAAAGAGTGCTGTGCAGATGGGACACCACAAGCAGAGCTCTCATCCTGTAACTACACTTAGGTAATTACACTTAAGCTAAGTGATGTTGGCTCTGTCTAGAACATTAGTTCTGCCATGTTCTGCCCTGGCTGAACATTAGTACTGCCAGGGACATGATTTTGTTTCCTGTCATCCACATTGCATATGCCCTGGCTTTATAGCTTGCTCTGTGGGACAGAGGGGTTTCTTTCCTGTCTCATCAGAGATGCCTGTTTTGAGGGCAAGTTAAAACGATTAAAACTTGGGCCCTGGGCATAGGGAGGGGTATCGTGGCCATGTCCTGGAAATACACCTTTGGGGCAATGAAGGATATGTCCAGATCATACTTGGACGGGAAATAAAAAAAACATGTCCAATTGATGCTACACATCTTCAAGACGAGGAGCCAAACTCAAAAAAAAAAAAAAAAAAAAAAAAAAAAGAGAGGAGGACTGGCAACAAAGCTTACATCTTCCCCAGAACACTTAAATCATAAAGAAGGAATAACCAGGCTAGCAACATGGAAAGCAGCAAAATCCTGGGAAGTTTAACCACTCCAAACACATTCCAGAGTAACTAGGAAGTGGAGGAAGGGCTAGTAGGCTTCAGATCATAGTGTTTGTCTGTTACCCAATTCTTTTCAGCCCAATCACAAGCTGTTCAATCACACTTCGACTATTATCAATCAAGTACTATATGCTGTATGCTAAAAAATTATGCAAATACTGTATGAGGACTGTTAATGTTGAGATGGAGAAATTTCTTCATATTTACTAGACAAGTTGAGCATTTAAGACAAATATTTGAGGTGATTAAATACTAGTCATAATTTGTTTTGTTATCTTAGGAAAAACCCAAGTTTATGGTGCCCTATATAACATGGAGCAGCGTTCGTGTGGGAATATTTATCACACTGTCTGTGGTTAGCATTGTCATATATATCTCCATGCCAGCGGTTCTACTGGCACTCCTAGCAACTATGATCATCCTTGCTCTTATTGAAGTTGTCTACCTGTTGTTCGTCTGTGCTCATTATATTGAGGTGAGTCAGTTTATTTTGTATAAAGACAATCTTTAAGAGGGTATGTGATATATTTTGAAAATTTTAACCATATTAATGAAAGGTTAATTTTGTTTAATACTGTAACTAGAAAGACACTACATTTAGAATTCCACCATATATGCAAACAAAAAGATTCAAATATTGATAAGAAAGTATAAATTTAATTATATTAAAAATCTATTGAGCTCCAATGTACTGTTATCCTATACAATCTTGTTTCAGAACTTAGTCTATATTTCGTATTGACTTTTATTGATAATAATTAATAATAATTCATTGTGTTTAGGGGGACAGGCAGCCAGTGTGTATCCATATACGTTAGGCTTATATTGAGGTCCCCTCCCTACACCCCCTCTCTACACCCCCCATGTCAAATTATTGATCCCACCCAAGATGCAACCCCACAACAAGCTAACTCCTGAGTACCTACTTACTGCTAGGTGGACAGGAACATGAGGTGATAGGAAATGTACTCAACCATTTCTGTCCCGCCCGGAATTCAAACCTGGACTTTTCTATTGTGAGTCAAAAACGAACCCGACTGTACTACCGGGACCCTCATTTTCTATTGTTGTAATATCAACATACATACTCAGTAGAAACTTTCTTCCTGTACCATAAGTTTTGTCATTATTTTCTGGGGAAGCCCCGTCAGCTCCTCGAAGCCTTACCAGGCTTATATGCTAATTGTCAGACTTTGGCATCAGTCATGTGTATGGAGTACTTAGGGCCTACCGGGGACCATGGCCAGAACCTGGCCCCCTCATAGAGGCAAATGGAGCAATGGCCTATAGAAACCTCCATGTGGTTGGAAGCATTCTATGTCTGCCATCGACCGGGTCAAGCATCCAGAAAGATAAGCGTCCCAAAAGAAATGCCTATTCTGGTTAAAATTGCTACCAAAAGTCGAACTAGTGGATAGAACTCCCCAACAGAAAACAAGCAAACTAGTATGACATCACACGTCACCGCACGTCATAGGTATTGGTGGAGACCTAGACACCTGACAGTGTATGCGTGTTTATCTATGTGGTACCATGACATTACACTCATCTGTGAATGATACAGTTGCTCTAGTCCCGTGGTCCTCTCCTGTTCTTATGTCTTGCATGCTTCTTCGGCTTTGTGGATCCATCTACAGGTGGGTCCTCATAGCGTTTCAGCATGTTAACGTGGTACTTCTTCTTGGCACCATCGACGTCGAGCACATAGTTTTAAAGAGTGCATGCACTCCACTACCGTGCATGGGCCCTTCCACTACAGCAAGAGCTTGTTCCTGCTGGTGGGAAGTAACAAAAGTACCTTGTCACCAACATGGAACTTGCATTCTTTTGCTTTTTTCTCCTTGGCAGACACTCCCTGAATGTCTCGCAACTTCAAGGTTTTTTCTGGGCGAGTCGGCTTGTTGCTCTCTGACCTCGTAGTGACAGCTGCTACGAGCGAGTTACCTATTAATGGAGTTGTTGTCGCTTCAACCAGGGGTTTTGCTTCTCCCTCCATTACTTCACAGCTTGCTTTCTCTCCCTTATTCTTCCCTTTGGGTTTCAGCTGGGTGTGGGTGTGGTCACTCCCTGTGACGTCGCCCCTGGGTGAGTCATCTGTGGCACCAGCTGTCTGAGGACGTCTGCACCCAGTTGAGGCAGCTTCCTCACTCTTCCCTGTTTTCTTTTAGGGTGGACTTGGGCAGTTAGACACTCCCGGGACATTCCCCCAGTAAAAGTCCATATACAGCACGTTCCGGTTGAAAGGCACGAATTTTTCCTTTGATGTATGCTGTGTCAACCCACACATACACCTCCACCATCTCCTTAGCATAGCCATTTAGGAATTGGACATCTATGTGTCTACCTGTCTCAGATCCTGGCGTTATTAGACTGGTTCTCACCATGTGGGTGGTGGCGCCTTTTTCACGAAAGACTTTCGCCAATTTTCCGTTAACATTCCCGTCCACCACCTCAAGGGTCCAAGCTAGTGGATCCTTTCCAACGTTGGGATGTTTCTTACCACTTGAGCTCACACCTGCTATGTAACCTGGCTTCGGTTTTGCCTTGCAATCAGCTGCCCGATGACCTGGCTTACCACAGTTGTAGCACTTGTGTACATGCTTGTTGGAGGAGTTTCCCTGCCCCTCCCCTCCCTCCCGGCACACCAGTCTTAGGCTTAGCTCCCTCGCCAGTACCTGCAGCATGATGCTTCTCGTGCGGCTTCACCCCTTTCACCTGTCTCTTGGCCCCAGCCCACAGATCAGCTTGCTTGGCCATAGACTGATTTGACATAACTTTTGCTCTTTGTTGCTTGACGCAACTCCTGCTCTTTGAGCTTGACGCAGAGAGACGATTCGCATGCTTCTAAGAACTGTTCACGAATCATCAGTTGATAGAACTCCATGCTCCCAGGACCAGTCTCCATGAGTTCACAGTAAAGGTTTAGACTTGATTCTAACCGCTGTAACATTAGCATATATGTCTCCCCTTTTTGCAATTGAGCCCTACAGAAATTCTCTAGCATCCGGTCTGCAGTGATGCCAAAACCGTTCAGCAGCGCTGTTGTCAACGCCTCATAATCTCCGCGCTGGTGCGGACCCAGACTGTGGTAGATAGTGCCCTACCCTTTAACAACGCACTAAGAGCGAGTGCCCACTTTGATCTTTCCCACCCGCAATCAGCGGCGTGACCTTCGAAACGCTTGAGGTATGCATCCATCGAATCGCCCCTCTCATCAAAGTTAACTAGTATAGGTAGTTTGACAGTCTTACCTTGTTCAACATTAGGCTCTGTTGAACGACCACTTGTCTGGTCATTCTGCCTCGATTGCAACTGCACGAGAGCTATGTGTTTAGTACTTTCTCTGTTCTGCTGATCAATTCAGAGTTTGTTTTCTCTGTTCTGCTGATCAGTCCAGAGTTTCATAGCTTGCTCTGCTACTTTATTCCCTTCGAATCCCAACCCCCTAATCTGGTTATGGTATTCCTCTAAGATGAATAAGTGGTAGCCTGTAACACCTACTCTTTGAGCTGGCATCGTCCACAAGGACTTTTGGGCAGAGATTCTTCCCCGTAGAATCCCCCCAACGGAGTATTTAAAGGGCTAGATTTCCATGTGACTCTGTTTTTTCTCGCAGCATGCGTGATACTAGTGACATCATTCTCGGTGACGACACTCACAGGGGTCTCGCCACCAGTAGCCTCATCCAGTATTAAGCGAGTCATGGTTCCACTCATTGCGATGTGAGACCATTGACGACAGGCTTTCCCAACAAACCGTACTTGACCCAGAGGGTACACGCAGGAGGGCAGGCTGTATACTTAAAAAAACGCACGCACGCTCGCTCACTCACTCACTCACTCTCGCTCACTCACTCACTCACTCACTCACTCACTCACTCACTCACTCACTCACTCACTCACTCTCGCTCGCTCGCTCACTCACTCACTCTCGCTCGCTCGCTCACTCACTCACTCACTCACTCACTCACTCCCTCACTCACTCACTCACTCCCTCACTCACTCACTCACTCACTCACTCACTCACTCACTCACTCACTCACTAACTCACTCACTCACTCACTCACTCACTCACTCTCACTCACTCTCGCTCACTCTCTCACTCACTCTCTCTCACTCACTCTCGCTCCCTCGCTCGCTCACTCTCTCGCTCCCTCGCTCGCTCACTCTCTCGCTCACTCTCTCGCTCACTCTCTCACTCACTCTCTCACTCACTCTCTCACTCACTCTCTCTCACTCACTCACTCACTCACTCACTCACTCACTCACTCACTCACTCACTCTCGCTCCCTCGCTCGCTCACTCTCTCACTCACTCTCACACTCACTCTCTCACTCACTCTCTCACTCTCTCACTCACTCACTCACTCACTCACTCACTCTCTCACTCACTCACTCACTCACTCACTCTCTCACTCACTCACTCACTCTCACTCACTCACTCTCTCACTCACTCACTCACTCTCTCACTCTCTCACTCACTCACTCACTCACTCACTCACTCACTCACTCACTCACTCACTCACTCACTCACTCTCACTCACTCACTCACTCTCTCACTCACTCACTCTCTCACTCTCTCACTCACTCACTCACTCACTCACTCACTCACTCACTCACTCACTCACTCACTCACTCACTCACTCACTCACTCACTCACTCACTCACTCACTCACTCACTCACTCACTCACTCACTCACTCACTCACTCACTCACTCACTCACTCACTCTCTCACTCACTCACTCTCTCACTCTCACTCACTCACTCACTCTCACTCACTCTCTCACTCACTCACTCACTCACTCACTCACTCACTCACTCACTCTCTCACTCTCACTCACTCACTCACTCACTCACTCACTCACTCACTCACTCTCTCACTCTCTCACTCACTCTCTCACTCACTCACTCACTCACTCACTCACTCACTCACTCACTCACTCACTCACTCACTCACTCACTCACTCACTCACTCACTCACTCACTCACTCACTCTCTCACTCACTCACTCACTCACTCACTCACTCTCTCACTCTCTCACTCACTCGCTCTCTCACTCACTCGCTCTCTCACTCACTCGCTCTCTCACTCACTCGCTCTCTCACTCACTCGCTCTCTCACTCACTGTCTCACTCACTCACTCTCTCACTCACTCGCTCTCTCACTCACTCGCTCTCTCACTCACTCGCTCTCTCACTCACTCGCTCTCTCACTCACTCGCTCTCTCACTCACTCTCTCTCTCACTCACTCACTCTCTCTCTCACTCACTCACTCACTCTCTCTCTCTCTCTCTCTCTCTCTCTCTCTCTCTCTCTCTCTCTCTCTCTCTCTCTCTCTCTCTCTCTCTCTCTCTCTCTCTCTCTCACTCTCTCACTCTCTCACTCTCACTCTCTCACTCACTCACTCACTCTCTCACTCTCTCTCTCTCTCACTCGCTCTCTCACTCACTCGCTCTCTCACTCACTCGCTCTCTCA